AATAAACTTATAGTCTTATGTCTCATGTCTCAGCATTTCTCTTTTCTTAAACAAAAGATTAATTTTTTTAAAATTATTTAAAAGATTAAATTTAAAAGAAATTTTAAACAAAAGAATAACATTTGCCTGTCCTGGAACTTGCTCTGTAGACCAGGCTGGCCTCAGACCCAGAGATCTACCTGCCTCAGTCTCCTGAGTGCTAGGATTAAAGGATGTGCCAACACTGGCCTGCAAACATTTTATTTTTGTCAGGTCTCAAAGAAACCTGGGACTAATGGCTAACTGAGGTGCCTATTAGCATACCAAAACAGTTGCTGCCCTCTCGGTTCACTTGGTATCTGTGGCTTGCTCTGCTCCCTCTTCCACCCCAACCTCTCTAGTCCAGGGGCTTCCCTTCCGTGCCCCCAGCTTCTCTTTCCTATGTAAACTTGCTGTTTTGACCATGTTCCTTTTTGGTTCTCAGCTCTCTCTTGGTTCCCTCTCTTTGTTTCCTCTCTCTTCTCTTCCTCTCTCCCCCCCCCCCCCCAATCTACTGGCCATGCTCAATGTACTTGTTTCTTGTCCTGTTCTGGACTCATCCAGATGCCTTAGGCTGAACTCTCATATCTACAATAAAAATCCTTCTCAACTATACCTTTGAGCAGTCATGTCATGTTGGTGTTCTGTTTTAAGTGAGTCTGTGGAAGAAAAAGGTCACTTCAAGATGAATTTAGGCTTAGCAAAGCAACAGGGTCAATCAGCATCTGGTGAACTGATTGCCAGTTGCTTTGCAAAACAAACAAACAAACAAACAAACAAACAAAAAACCCAAAACAAAAAAACTTGTTTGTTGTTACACAATGTATACCTTTAGCAAATAATTTCTGAATATCAAAACTTCTTATTTGGAGTTGTTTAAAGGAACCATTTGCCTCAGCAGCCCTCAGCCATGAGACCTCCTGGTGTGCTAGGTCTTCTCATTACTGTTTTGCAAGGCTCTGGAGTCATTCAGAAAGAATTCAGATAAGAATCAAACCCTGTCCTTCTTCTCTTCTGTCTATCGCCTCCCTCCTGGAAGTCCCACTGCTTCCATACACCCTTCTGGACCTTATATGACGACCTTTTCTCTCTGAATCCTAGGACTCAGAGATTCCATTATAGCTTCGTTGTCTTACTACAAACAGCTCAAAGGCCAAAGATGGAACACTAGATTTTCAAATTTTCTCATATGGTAACAACTTTTGCCACTGCACAAATGATTCCCCAAATCTCTTATATCTAAGCTTTCTCTGCTCTACACTTCCAAGCCTCTTATTTCTAAGGTTTTTCTAGTTTTCACTCTTAAAAATCTTTTATGTCTATAATTTTTTTTGGCTCCCTGCTCTCAAAAAATCTTTTAAAGCTATTAAGTAAACTCTCAGGGTTTGTAAGTTTATTGGGTATGGTTAAAACATCTGTCAAATCTGTTAACAAAAATTTAACTTAAAACTTGTAACAAAAGGCTTACAGTTAAAAATAATCTATACAGGGGCTGGAGAGATGGCTCAGAGGTTAAGAGCAACGACTGCTCTTCCAGAGGTCCTGAGTTCAATTCCCAGCAACCACATGGTGGTTCACAACCATCCGTTATGAGATATGGTACCTTCTTCTGGAGTGCAGATATACATGGAAGCAGAATGTTGTATACATAATAAATAAAATCTTTAAAAAATAATCTATACATAAGTAATCTTAAATTGCTACAACAAATCATTTATGTAATTCAACTCTTGTTTAGAATATACTGTATATCTTAGGGTTTTTATTTTTATTGCTGTGAAAAGACACCACGACCATGGCCATGGTTTGTTTTGTTTTCATTCCAGACAGGGTTTCTTTGTGTTAGCCCTTGCTGTCCTGGAACTCACAGAGATCTGTCTGCCTCTTCCTTCCAAGTGCTGGGATTAAAGGCATTCATCACAACAGCCCAGTAGCCATGATAACTTTTATAAGGGAAAACATTTAATTGGGGTAGCTCACTTACAGTTCACAGGTTTAGTTCACTATTGTCATGGTGGGAAGCAAGGCAGCATGCAGGCTGACATGGTGCTAGAAAAGGAGCTGAGAGTTCTTACATTTTGACTCATAGGCAACAGGAAGTAGTCTGAAAACACTGGGCATGGCTTGAGCATATATGAGACCTTAAAGCCCCTCTCCACAGTGACACACTTCCTCCAACAGGGCTATACCTACTCCAACAAAGCCACTTAATAGTGCCACTCCCTATTAGTTTATGGGGATCAGTTACATTCAAACTACCATATTGCACATGTAACTTGAATTTAAGTCTTGTTTAGAAAAATAGATGTTCTTAAATAGCAACCATGTATCTTGCCTCCATCTTGGTTGATGACCTTATCGGGATGTATGAAGCCATGTGGCCCACAGCCATCTTTAGTAATGTTAAAAGAGAGTACATGCCATGTAACTTCACCATCTTGATTAAAATGATAATGTGGGCCAGGTGGTGGTGGCACACACCTTCAATCCTAGCACTTGGGAGGCAGAGGCAACCGGTCTACAAAATATTTTGGATTAGGATGGAATTTTCCTATTTTTTTTTTTTTGAGAGAAGGTTTCTCTATATAGCTTTGGAGCCTATCCTGGAACTTGCTCTGTAGGTCAGGCTGACCTTGAATTCACAGAGATCCACCTGCCTCTGCCTCTTAAGTGCTAGGCTTAAAGGTATCTGCCACCACCACCCAGTTTAGATGGGAATTTCTTTGTTTTGTTTTGGAGACAGGGCTTCTCTGTGTAGTTTTGGAACCTGTCCTGGAATTAGGTCTTATAGACCAGGACGGTCTCTCCTGCCTCTGCCTCTAAAGTTCTGGAATTAAAGCTGTGCGGTACCACTGCCCAGCTAGATTGGAATTTTATATCATGGAGACAGTCTCTGGAACCTGTCTCTGGAACTCACAGAGATCGGCCTGCTTCTGCCTCCCCAGTGTTGGGATTAAAGGCATGTCCCACCAACGCCTGTGGATTTTTTTTTTGAAGAATTTTTCAATTATGTGTACTTATGTAGTATAAATTCCTAAAGTCATAAAGGTCTACTCAGGTTATAAAGGTCTTCTCTAACTCAGGTTAACAAAAACTGACTTAGAGAGGTATATCTAACCACTTATGTCTTTGTTGACAACACCAAGCTTCTAGAAAATTTTAGATAAGTAATAACAAATCTTTAGCCAGGCGGTGGTGGTGCATGCTTTTAATCCCAGCACTCCGGAGGCAGAGGCAGGTAGATCTCTGTGAGTCTGAGACCAGCCTGGTCTACAAGAGCTAGTTCCAGGACAGCCTCCAAAGCCACAAAGAAACCCTGTCTCGAAAAACCAGAACAACAACAACAAAAAAAAGCAACAAATCTTTGATGAATAAGGTATGTTTGATAAATATGGTTTATAAATTCCTAAGGTCTATTCTGGTTAACAGTAACTGCCTTGAAGATATATGTCTAGCTCCTTTGTATTTGCTAACTTTGCTAAGCTTTAGCTATTTGGATAAATTGAATTATACAAGAAACTGTGATAGTCTGTAATGGTGCACTATGACAGTATCAGAAATCTGAGTTTCCCAGTTTCTCTGGACTGTGTACCTTGGAGCCGTCATGTCCTCATTTTCATTCAATTTTCACATTTACTATTGCGTGTATGTCAACGTGTGTGGAGATGGGAGCACAATTCAGTTCTCTTCTTCCACAATGTGAGTCCTGGAAAGTAAATTCAGGTCATCAGACTTGGTGTCAAGTGCCCTTTACCTGCAGAGCGCTGTCATCATGATGGCCCCCAAAACATTTTTTTTATAGGGATCCTCTAAACACCTGTGATTTGCGGCCTCCTTTCCCATTCACCTTTTCTTCATCTCAAGAATCCTTCTTCCAATTCTGCCTTCAGAAATTCTGCATATCTGTATGAAGTCCAGTCCAAGTCTCACTTCTTTCTCTGTCAGTTTCATACAGAAAAAGTTTCAGCTCCTCTACCCTTTCAGTATGGACACACCACCTTTTTTTTGGCTCTCTTAAATTCAAGGCCATCTTGGGTAACACAAGCCAGAACCCATCTAAGTAAATTTTTTTTTTTTTTTTTGTTTTTGTTTTCTGAGACAGGGTTTCTCTCTGTAAATCTTTGGAGCCTGTCCTGGAACTCAGTCTATAGACCAGGCTGGCCTCAAACTCACAAAAACCCACCTGTCTCTGCCTCCTAAGTGCTGGGATTATTATTTTTTTAGCTTAAGTTCCTTTTTTGGTTTTTCAAGACAGGGTTTCTCTGAGTAGCTTTGGAGCCTGTCTCTGGAACTCACAGAGATCGGCCTGCTTCTGCCTCCCCAGTGTTGGGATTAAAGGCATGCCCCACCAACGCCTGTGGATTTTTTTTTTTTTAAGAATTTTTCAATTATGTGTACTTATGTAGTATCTGTATTTGGCTATGTGCATGTCAGAGTGCAGATGCCCTTGGAATCCAGAAGGGGTATGAGACCCCCTGGAGCTGGAGTTATAGGAAGTTGTGAGCACCCAATGTGAGTATTGGGAACTGGATTGGGCAAGCAAGTGCTCTTAATCGCTGAGCTCTCTCCCCAGACCCTAAAGGGGAGCCTCCTGCCTCAGCCTCCTGAGTTCATGGGAACTGGGACTAAAGCATGTGCTAGCACACCTGACTTCAAATTTTTGTTTTCAACACTTTTCCAAGGCAAATAAAGCAAATTCTCTGTTATAAAATTAGGGAATGACTCAAACATTAAACCCTGTTTTTCCCTTGGGATGGCAGGAATAGAGCTAATTTTATGTAGTTACATACACGATAAATCATGCTGATTCTTTCCCCAGTATTCAAAGCTTTGGGTCACGAAACACAACCAGAGATGATTAGGATGTTCAAAGTCACTTCAGTCTTACAGGGGTTTTCAGCATATTGAAAATGAAAAATGAGTGAGTTACAGAAATGGGTATTTTAAATCTGCACATGGCCTCTCAATTCTGTCGCTAGGGATGTGTCTGATTTTAATGACCAAAATCAGGAAACAGCACGGGAACAGGTTAAGATGACTTTATGTTGCTTGGTTGTGATCTAGATCGTGTTTTGTTAGGTAGAGAGGTCTCAGGCTCCCGGGATCAGGGCGATGACTCCGCAGGAACGGCGGTGCCTGCGGCCCATTGGAATCTCGCTCTCTGCAGACATACCGGCCCGACCTCCCTCCATTTCTGATGGAGGCCACGTGTCCCTGTAACGAAGGGCAGCTGGGGCTGGAACAGCGTTCCTAGCTCAACGGGTGGGAAAGGCGTCTTCTCGCAATGGCCGCCGACACGCCGCCCATTGAAGAACCAGGGCGACCCCACTCGAGAAAGCGTGCCAAAGCTAACCAGCCCAGGGAGAGCGCTCCCTCCCGCTCCGTCACGGCCCGCCTTCTTTCCTCCTGCCCAATCAACAACCACTTCCTGCCCTGCTCTCGACCAATCATCACCCTCCACGAAGAATAGCCCTAGGGGGCGTATGAGAAGGAGTTTTGAGCGATGGCTGTGTTGGCCAATGGAATTGCAGGTCTTGCACTA